GATTTATATAACATCACAACAAATAAATGGGAATAAATTTATATTTAGCAAAAATTTATTATTGATGCATTATAAATCAACTTACTTATGGAACTTTGTCCATTTGAACCATTCCTTCTCCATTTTATTTTCTTGGAATTTTCTATATACATATGGTTGATATGATGATAAGAAATTTCCCTATTACAGTCAAACCCTAATTGTAATTTTACGTCCCTATGGAATTATCCCAAGTAGACTTACACTTTGAATAGAAATTTCTACTTTTCCTAAGAAATATATCTATTTTATGCAAAATCTAGAGAATCTTCGTCATAAGTTTTATAATTCGAATATAAACTTTAATTTTAGCTTTGAAAGGAACATGATATTAAAATTTGAGAAAATGCATTGAAATTAATTTTATTTTTTTATACCTGCTGATACCGGGCTGGCTCCTCATCATGCGTCAATATCGATGATTGTGTATTATATATAAACTATAAATTTTAGAGCTCTAAGGATTAAAAAAGACATGAGATGCAGTTTTGTGCCGATTGCCGGAGTGCCACGGTCTACCCTACAAGTCTCTTAAATAATCGGATAGATTAGTAATGTTATTTTCTTTTTATTTAAAAAAACTGGAAAATTTTTAAATATGTATCCTTTAAAAAATAGTAATGATTTTATTTTTTTATGTAAAACATAGGTTATACTCGAAAAAAAATTATTATAGGGGTAGGTTCATTGAAAGGTATATTTAATTTAAAAGAATAGGATGCAAAATATTAGATAAAATGTCATTTATTAATTCACATTTAAAAGCATTTATAAGTTACCTTTTTATTTAAATAAAAAAAATTGTTTATCTTTCGGGAGTTCTAAATTATCTGTTTCTATTTTATAGAAAAGTATAATATAATCAATCAGATACTTAAGCTTCACCATCGTTAATGTGAAAGGGATATTTTAGGGTGGAGGATAAGTGGGAAGGAAGCAGTCATTGAGAATCTTTTTGATTTTATTTCTTTATTTTGATACAGAATAAAGTTCGATAACTGAGGCTTAGGTAGCTGAACAGCTTACATCTTATATAATTTCTCCGAATGTTTTTGTTTATTTTTAAGGTTTTTCTTTACATAATATTAATTTTATTATAGTTTAGGGAGAATTTCTCACCCAAACCTTAACGAAAAATGGATCTGTGAACCGGGCTAAACGTTTTAGACTAAACGAAATTAACTTGATTTAGCCTGTCGACACAAGATAAAACATATGTTAAACCTTGAAAATACATTAAATTTACAGCTATTGCAAAATATCATTTCGCATAATGGTGTTCATTTCGCTTAGTGCGAGGAGCCTCTAAGTTGAGTTTATAGTTGTTTCTTATTGCTAATAAAAATAATCCTGCCACTGTCATGGTAAATTGTTTAATTCATTAAATATTATTCCCGTATTTTGCTTAACTCTTAACTAAAAACTTCGATATATTTAAGATGTAAGTGCCTCTTATTTTATATCTTATTCTTCAGTGGCGTGACATCTGAGGATATTTAGAATGTGTCACAGCAGAGCAGGAACTCGATAATTATTGAATTCGAAGTTGAAATTACTCTTTTAAAATAGAAGAATTTAACTTTCCGGGGAAAAATAGAGGAAAAGGTTTTATTAAAAACTTAAAAAACATACTAGAATGGCATCTTTATGTTAATTAAATTGATATCTACTACATAGTATATTAATTATACACAAAAACATACTTAAAAAATAAATACATATAAGCTTAAGGTTTTTACAAAATTTCCTTTTGTGATTGAGCTAGTTTTTATTTTAAATTATTTTATTAGTATAATTGGTAGTTTTTAAAAACCTTGATCTAGGTGATTATCAAAAAGGGTTGAATCTTACCTAGCCCTTCGAGATTGCACCAAAAATTAGAAATTTTTGGGCCCTATTTGGCAAAATCCGAGGTTTAGGTAATACTTGATTGGTTAAAATCTTCATTTTGATGGTGGAAAGGGGGGGGGGATTTTAATCGGTAAATTAACTAACACTACTATTTGGAGTAAAGTTTCATTCTTCTTAAAGAAGAAAAAAGTTTCTTTATTTATTCAAGTGCTATTAGATATAGTGCTCAAAATACATGATAATTTTAATATATTATTAGCAAAATACTCTTAGATTTGTGAGGATACCATAATGAGATTGCACCAAAAATTAGAAATTTTTGGGCCCTATTTGGCAAAATCCGAGGTTTAGGTAATACTTGATAGGTTAAAATCTTCATTTTGATGGTGGAAAGGGGGGGGGGATTTTAATCGGTAAATTAACTAACACTACTATTTGGAGTAAAGTTTCATTCTTCTTAAAGAAGAAAAAAGTTTCTTTATTTATTCAAGTGCTATTAGATATAGTGCTCAAAATACATGATAATTTTAATATATTATTAGCAAAATACTCTTAGATTTGTGAGGATACATTAATGAATCAAGAGCTTTTCATTTATTTGACTTAAAAAATTATCCAAAAGGATAGTATTGTTTTAAAAACCTAGATTAGCCTATTAAAAATCAGATTAATTAATATTTAGACAATAAAATATTACCCACAAGCCTCAAGATCTCGATAAAAGTTGACAGAAAGATTTGGCCCTCTTTTGGTAAAATATGGAGGGTTGACAATATTTTTATTTAAATATTAGATAATCATTGGACTTGGAGGGAGGGGGGTGGTAGGTATGAAAGCGCTATAATCATTTGAATAAAATTTGGAAAGGTTCTGAATATGATCATATGTGGTGGTACTATAATATACAATAGTAAATTAGAATAAACTAGACCAGCTCATTGTGATTCTGCTTACTAAATGTATGTTTCGCCGGGAGGAAATACCTTAATCATCTTAGAAATTTGTTTTATTTTAATCTCCGGCATTATAATACTTTTTTTTGTATATCTGTCCCGTTTTTAAGACCTACAATAACATGTTAAGAATAACAAAATTAACGCTTATGCTAATATATAAACGACTATATTCATACAAAATTTCAACACTATTTCTATCTTTATTTATCATAGGTATAATAATATATTTATAAATAAGTTTGATACCGTTAGATTCTGATAAGTCAAAGACAAAATAATCTTTTTTTTCTTCCTTTTTTTATAGTATATAATTATAATGTATCTTTTTACTAAAAAAAATTTTTTTTTCTTCTTTTTGTTATTTATGTAATTTATATATATAATATTCTTCTTTATATTCGTTTTTATGTAATATAGACGTAGAAAATCTTTTTTGATTCTACCAAGAAATTTACAAAATATATTATTTTTAAATCAATAATTTTAAATAAATATAATTCCGTTATATAGAAATTTCTGTCGAATCCTATTCTATTCCATCCAAGATAATATTCGAAGCAATTGCTCAATACATTTGCTACCCAAGTATTAAAAAAATTGAAAAATTTATTTATGAGTAAATTAGGAAGTAAAATGTTTTGAAGAAATTTTGTTTGTTAGCGTTAATTCATTTTTTTTTTCAACTTTAAATCTTTTTTGAGTTCGTTTTTTGAATTTTTAAATATAGTTATGCTGGAAATATATTTCAGTACATGTAGGAAATCTAACCCTATAATTTTTAGAAAATTCTGCCATGAACCTTTAAAACTTATTATAAATTTATACATTAGATTTTATGATATAAATAATAAATAACTAAATTCAATAGCAAAATTGTGTGAAATTCATGGAATAGGTATTCCAAACATCCTGAAATACATTTCCTATAAAATAGAATTTTTAAAATTTAAAAAAAACATTGATTTAAAAAAATAGCATATTGACGAAAGAACACATTGTTGTCCAACATATGATATATAAATATTCCAATTGTCTATTAATGTTTAAAGGATTAATTATTTTAAAGTTTCAATATCTTAAATATGTCATTATGGTAGTTTAATTTTTTTTAAATCTTTTACCGGTAAAAATTTCTAAGGATCATGATTGAATTTAGAAGTTTTTCTTTCCAGTTAATTAATTTTTTTAAATATTATAAAATTTGTGATAAAATAAAAATATAGGCAACTTAAAAGATATATAAATATAAAAAAAAAATTTTTTAAACTGTTGCATTTGTTTACAAAAAAAAAATCTAAAAAAATAAACAGATCATATGATATTTGTAAAATTGTTTTCAAATATTAAAAAAGTATAATATTTATTTTTTTTGGCTCATGTAGCAAATGCCAATCATTTTTTAAAAATATTTTTAAAAAAAATAATAAAAATAAACAAATTTTTAGGAATTAAAAAAAAAGACAATAAAGTTTTTATAAAGGTTATTTTTATATTAAATTCAAGAATTGAAAGGTATAAATAAATTCGGCTAAAAAAGAAAAAATATTTTAAGATCATATTTTTTTTGCTATAAATTAACAGGCAAAATGGTGTTTATTTAATTTGAAAATCTTTGTTCCAACTTCCATAAAAGATCTACTTTCTCATCTCACTTAAGCCTTCGAATCAAATTTAAAAATACAAATTTTTTCATTAATGTAAAATCTGTTATAGGTATTTAAGTAAGACAAATTATATTATATTATACTCTACCAAAATCAAAATAAAACTTTTATAGAATTTTCTGAAACCCTTTTCATAATTCTTTTATCCACACCCACACCCCTCTTCTTCAACCACAATATTATCATAAAATTATTTCACTATTTTTATATTTAGAAGGAAAAAAAATTTAGATTAATATCTTATATTATTTTATTTTCGTAACAAAAAAAATTAAATATTACATAAAACATTACATAAACAAAAAAAACCGCAAATTAAACAAAGCTAAAAAAAAAATATTTAAAAAAAATTTAATTCTAAAAAATTTTTTTCACTTCAAATTATTCAAAAATTATTTATATACTTTTAATATAATATTTTCTAATATCCTTTTATTTTTTTTTAAAAAAAACTATTCATATATTATAAACTTCTGGCGCGAACTTGAAGAAAGTCTCAGAAATTTGAATATATCATTTTACATCTTTTTAATAGTTGAAAAAGACACAGGTATATTTAGATTATTATATTATATATATGAAACATAATTTCAGTATTTAATCGATTTTAAAATAAAATCCTTTTAAATAGTTATGATATGAGAGAAAAATAATTCTAAAACATTTTTTTTTAAAAAAAGATATTCTGAAAGTTTCAAAATTTTAACATAAAATTTACGAAAGTTTTTTAGTAAAATTTATAGTTAGAATAAAATTTAATATTTTAAGATTTTTATTATATTAAAATATATTTTCTTAAAATATTATCATTTATAAATCATTAATTAATTTTTATTTCCTTTTTAAAAATTAAAATTTATTGAGTTAATCTTTAATTCAATAGTTTATAAATGTTAATTGTTAAATATATGCCAGACAAGAGTTGATGAAATAAATCAAGATATAGTAATTAACTTAATTCTTAGTAGTTCTCCATATAATTTTTATTATTCATATTAATATAAGTCAACATAAAATTTATATACGAAAAAAAAATATCAAAATTTAATAATGCGAAGGTAAAATATAGTGTAAAATGATGAGAATAAAGACGAAAAAATGAGTCTAGCAAAGATCTGTGGAGAGAATACTGCCATTGAAACTTTGATAATTCGCTTTAAGGATAGCTAGCCAGTCTTTGAAGAGACCTTCTCACAGATCGCGAGTATGCTTGCGGATGTGAGATTCTAAATTTTTGAAGAAGGATAATGCAAGCTTACCAAAGGAGGTTAAAGTAGTGGATAATATTAGGATAAAGATGGGATCTTCTGATATTTCAGAATGTATGGAAATTTTATGTTGTTCTTTTTGCTAAAGTAGGTTGGAGTTTGGTTGGATAAAGTAACGGTTTTATATAAGAATAGGCCCAAACCAGAAATTAGGCCCGTTTCCATGGAATCAGGGCGATTCCGCTAGGTTTTTTTCCATCGGATCTAAAAAGGCTTGATGTTTAGGCATAGCGGGTATTTGGGCTGATTTTAATACTCGCTGGATCAAGGTGCATTGTGTGTGCCTGAATATTTCTCTTGTGCACGATCTGCAATGTAAAGTGTCTTCCTTTGATGTCTATGGGGATTCTGCAAGCAGAACAGAAGTGAGGAAAGGCTATTGTAAAATTTAGGCGGATTCTATTTCGTGAGTTAGCTCATTATGATTAGATAGAGTTAAAAATTTTTGAGACGAATGACTTTCAAAATTTATGCCCGGATCCATTAAGTAAAGAAGTGAAGAGAGAACTGTCTGTCGGGAACATGCTAGATGATTAAGAATTCAACGCAGCAGGCTACAACTGGCCTGTCACATCCCTCTGTCTATTGGATTTGGGCGATGAGACATAGCAGGATAGCATCATCTAAAAAGTCTTTTGTGAGGTGTGGGACGGGTATCGAAAGTAGACTGCTCGAAATAAAGGCAGGATCGGTGGGAGATCTAATCTCTAAACCACCACTTTATGGGTAATGAAGCTTGAGCCCAGTCATTTAATGAATTTTATTCAAAATATCTTCAGTTAGATCTTTTATTCCGTTTTCATAAATATTGAGAGGGATAGGATCCTTAAATAGGCCTTGAACGTAGAGCATAAAATATGCATGGAATGTTAAAAAAAGTTTTTAAGGAGGGAAAATGATTTATGCGAGGGTAGCAAATCGGGGGGGGGGGGTAAGTAAGCTTAAGAAAAATAATAAGAGTAGAGTGGAGGAAGGCACTGATTGAAGTGAATCCACCTACTGGGGTTCTTAGATGTGTTATCTCCTCCTTGGAAGTAATTTTGTAATTGTTGATCGGAGGAGTTTACTTGCAGAAATTCGGATCTATGGGGTTGAAAATGAGATCTGTACGGCCTTATTGGTTTCCAATTGAGGTCCACTAATAATTCTGTCGTCCATATACCAGACTTGAAGCAAAATTCTGACTCCAAAATGAATGGGGGAAACAAAACTGGGCACATCACCATTTAATATTCGGTTGCATCAGTTTGTGATTTTAAGAAGGACGAAAGTTTGTAAACTATCACTGGAGAAGTTGTGTCCGTGAGGAATTATGGGTCTGATTCCATGGAGGTGAGAGGAGTTTCGATGAAAAGATAGGATTGCCTTCCTTACGTAATCTGAAGTAAAATGGGAAGCACAATGAGAATTAGGTTGTTGGATGACTGGTGTTGAAGTGGAAGAAGGGTGTTTTGAAATGAGTTTTATGTATATCTCATTGAGTGGTGAGCTAGTGAATCAAAAGAAGAGGCCAATTTGAGAACACCTTTAAACAGTCAATTTTTTTAAGTTTGGCTTTAAGTTTAATAAGAGAAGCTTTTTTTTGTTATAAAAAATTGTGGACCTTTAAACCCGAGATGTGGAGAAACGTTGCAAAAGGCATCTTTAATTTGTTGGGTTAAAGAGGTATTTATCAGGTAACCTAGAGGTATTATAACCAAAAAATAAGAATTTAAGCTATTCAGTCTCACTGTTAAAGTTTTATACTAGAGAGGAGATGCAATCAGAGAGAGATTTAGCGACTTGTAACCTAGCATCTTTGGGAATTCCTGATATGTTGTTAGATTTTCTGGTATCGAGGAATAGGTCTGAGAAAAATGTTTTAGAAGCGTGATTTAATGGGGGATCTATGAAAGGGCTGGTAAGCGGGCAAGTGGGGGAGAGGTAAAGTCTTTTTGTGGCTTTATTATTTCCTTATATTTCCAATTTACCAAGTGATATATTTTTGTTTTTTGACACAAAATATATTGGCGCAATTATTAGTAAAATAATGATTTTAATTCTTCCCTGTATAAATAATAATTTGAATTATGCTAATATTAAACCAATAGCAATACAATGTAGCAAAATAAACATACAATAGTTTAAAATCAATAAACCAGTCCTACTTTCAGGGTTATAGCCAAGGCCATTTAAAATATTATACTATTACTATAGGAATCAGTATAATACCAGAGTCCCCGAGAAATAAACTAAAATTTATAGGCCTCTCCCTACAATGTGAGGGTCACTGAGGGTTAATATTTACAAAAAAATATATTAAAAGTAATTTTAGAAAGTTGAAAATGATAAATTTTATATTTAATAAATAAATCTACGGTTAGAATAGAAAATTCAAACCATTACGCAGTCTATTTTCCTATGACAAATATATGTCATACATTCTATGAAAAAAAATAATGGTGGAATGGACAATGCTTATAATTTAATTTATATTTTGTTAAACGTCATCACATACTCACGTGATCTCGATTCATTATTCATTCTTTACACAAAACAATCAATTTTAATAAAATGATGATTTAAAACAAGCCAAAAAAATATATCATAGTTTGGTCTTTGGCAAAGGACAAAATTGATGGCAAATGGGGACTCGTTTTACAGATACGATATCCCTAAAAATTACAATACCGGACTTGAGAAGGGCTACATAGAAACGTACTATCCCAATACTAACAATTACGATGATTTTAATAGCCCCGCAAATAACGGTAATATATATCACTCCCCCATAATAAGTAATTATTATTACCAAAATTTATACGCACGTCAATATAGCCCTTTCAATTATTTACCTTGCAAACAGAAGCCTCATAGTAATATTGAGAATGTATATCAACACCCCACACCTTCTTACCCCTTGTTTCAATCATCCACGATCACCCTTCCCTCTCGTCATTGCAAGGATGAGAAGGACTCTATTGTTAAAGTTGTCTCCAGGACCTCGTATAACCCTCAATACACGATATCACCATTATCAGCAGATTATAAAAGCAAAAGTATCTCCCATAACATTAGTTTTTATGCGTCTAATACCTCGACATCGAAATCCTTTTCCTACCACTCCTCTCCTCGAGAAGTATTAGCAAGAACAACTGTAGCCCCCGGGGCCAAATTATACAACACTTTTACATCCACAATGCAAAATACGCTTCCTTGCAATAATAATCATAACAATGGTATCGATTACCAAAATTTTCCTTTGCCCTTTTATGAAAACAATTATCACAGGGCATTAGCCGTAGTGGGGAATCCTAATCACCCGTCTGCCCATCGGTACCATCCACCTATGTATTATTACGACTATTTTTGTGAGGAGAGAAATCAGGGTTGTTGGATCGATGGTCATGTGTTTGATGATAGACTACTAAATAATCATCTATTAACTAAAGAAAGCTCCAATAATACTACTCCATCTATAATGACTTATTGCGACGAATATAATCACCATGCCAGTATTAAAAACATCCAAATAAAGAGTAAACCCGATATTCAAAATGCAGCAACCAACGCAAACAAAACGAGCAAATCAGATCCACAAGGTTCGCTAAACCAAAATATGGCCAACGATAAACCATTTAAATATGAAGACACAAAACCTACCAATCACCCGGTTATACCCATTACTATGGACAGGGATAAAAATATGTTCAACCTCCTCAACCAACCAAAAGGGAATATTATCCAATCCGACACGGGCTTTTATGAGAATAATAGAAACATGACTAGCAATCTATTATCTATCGATGCTCCCTTTCGCCAAAACGAAAAATTGCTCTATACCGTCAATAGTAATAATAATCAATACGACTCGTCCACCTATTTTTTCAATAACCCACCCTTTTACGCCAAAAGTTGTTTCAACTTTAATAGAAATGATAGCAACAATGTAAATTTAAGCCAATCCTCAAAAAGTTTAGAGCGACTAACGTTTAAAAGCATCAACGATAACGAAGATCACAAACTCGGCAATACTTCCAGTCCCACCAATTTGTTTACTTGGTATTCCTGGATGAATCCAGCTGGTATAAAAAATTAATCAAATAGTATATTATTAATAGTGATTTTATTGAAATATATTAGGGATTTTTTTTCTGAGCTGAGGGGGGGCATGTTCTTTTAACTTTCCTCTAAATACATAATAAATTAATCAAATAGTATATTATTAATAGTGATTTTATTTATATATATTAGGGATTTTTTTTCTGAGCTGAGGGGGGGGGGCATTTTCTTTTAACTTTCCTCTAAATACGCCACTGAGAGAGATTATCATAGTTTTTTTGACATTTAATAATTCCAAATTATATTTGAAAATAAGAATGAGATTTTAAGAAACATCAGTTAGAACTTATGGTGGAATGGTTAAGGCTGCGAAAATATAGATTTTTATATTTCTGAACCTCGAGAGCATAAATCGGATTTATACATTATTATGTCAATGCCATTTGAGTATTTTGGTATATGATTTCTTTTTTATGTAATAAAGAAAAAATTTTAAGAAAGGTAGAAAGAAAAAGATAAGTATTTATAATAATATTTGATATAGTATTATAAATTATTAAACTCATTAATTATAACAAAAATTTTAAAGTATAAAAAAGTTAATATAATTAAAATTTTTTTGTGCAAAATAAGCGAAATATTATAACATTGATAGAAAAATTTTGCTATTTTATTATAAGCAGGTCCAGAAATCGGGGAGGTGAATAGGCATAAATATTAAGATCTATTTTTTAAAAATTTTTAAATGAGTTTTACACACAAAAGATTAGCATTGGATGAGAGACATTTGAGAATTCGAATTTTAAACCTTGAGTCTTCTTCTAGAATCATAATTGCGTCTAATAGGAATTCTGAAAAAGCAAGCAATTATAAAATATTTATTTGTATATATTTGGGTTAAAAAAAATATGATCGTTAACCATTTGCAGGAAAAAGATGGTATATCGGAAAAATATAATGGCCATATTATATAGTCAATGTCATGTTCCGGTCTTTGATTTGGACCCATCCGATACTCATAAAGCGGTTCGAGCCAATGACCGTTAAAACCCTGATTATTTTCTAAAAAAATTTTTTTTTGTCTATGCATGCTGGGGACGTATTTTGTTTTTAGACACATAGTAATTCATGCAATACATGATAAAATAATTATTATGAATGTCCTTTAGATGTGTTTGGATTTGATCCAGAGGGACAGTAATAGGGTGAGCCTATCAATTCTGTATTAATTAGTCAAGAGTTTATACACATGCTATCTTACATTGTCTTATAAGAGAGCCTATTACTTTTGCAAGATTCCCTGCCTTGGAAAATATGTTAACATGGTATAGATTTTGCTTGTTTAGGAGTTTAAAACTCATAAATCATAAAGGAATAAAAACTCTCAGAAAAGAATTACAAATAAGATGTCAATATGAATAAATTGTATATGCTAAACGCTGTTGCGATCAATATTTAGTCATTATTTAAAATGTTAGTAAAAAATACAGGTCCGGCTAAGACATTTAGGAGTGGGCTTATTTTAAAAATAACAGCAATTTGAAAAGAAACTGATTTAAAATCTTGCGGTGGATAAGGAGATACGTTTAGATCTTTAAATTAACCACTACCTATATTTTTTGTGATTAATGATAAATAACATAGTTTTACATTTGCTTAGGATATTGTAAAAATTCCCAATTTGTATAAATGATTATTTACTCATATTATATAACTTTACAAGAATTCATAAATCTCTATTTATTCACTAATATTTCGACTTTTATAAATTGTTGGATTGTCATACGATATTAGATAAAATAAATATAATATAAATCTACAAATCTACGACAGATATGACATATAAAGATCGTGTCGTCACTGGCCTTTACAATCTCAAAAAGGTGGGGGGGAGGGGGGTGGGTAAAAAAAATTTTGAAAACTTTATTTTGCTATTTTTGAAAATGACCTTTAGCTAGCTGCAAGCAATTTTAAAATACTTTCTTTTTTTAGGTGTTTTATAAATTTTAGAACTACAGTTGAGCCCCTACAATCCTCCCACAATGTCGCTACTGCATATGAACTAGGAAGGGAATTGAGTGGAGAGGGGAGTCTCTATCCCCCTAAGTTTAAAAATTCCTATTATTATACATCATTCAACGTAATGTTGAATTTTATAGAATAAAAGTATATTCAAGTTTAATAATTCTCAAAACAAGTTTTGAAAGAATCCTTAGGTAAGGGTAAAATTTGTTTGCTTTTATGAATATTTAAGAAAACGATTTTTTATTTGAAATGGTCTCTCAAATATTATTAATAATGGACACCTAGTGCGTAACCAATGGGGGTGGGGGGGGGGATTTTTTCATCGCAAATTTTTCTTTTTTTGGAAATATCATTTTAAGCTAAAAAATCCCCCCCCTTTTCACCCACCCCTACTCCCCCAAAAAATGATTCAATATATCATTATAAGGAATTGAAAAAAAAATTAGTATAAATATTTATAAATTTTTAAAATAATGACCATAATTCGAAATTTTCTAGCAAAAATTGGTGAAAACCCAAAAATATTTTTATAAAAATCTAAATAAGTGGATCTAGATCACCAACAAAATCTATGAGGGAAAAATTACCTAATAGTGCCCCCCCCTATAACAAAATCCTGGATACATCAGTGTTGGACACAATTGATGTTTAATTTAAACCCCTAAATGAGGAGTGTTGGCGTGGTGGTAGTGTCATGCCATTTATAAAATAAATTGTCTCTTCTACTTCGCTCAAGCACAATCCCCAAAATAATATTACTTCATTACCACTATATTTCATTTCCTAAAATTTTTAGGAGGGCTTAAGTAACCTCAACACCTGATAACTACCTTATGTTATTATAATTTAGGCGTCCACTTAAAAAATTTATAAATCTTTTTTTAATGGTTTATGCTAGTGTCTAAAAACCGAATATTTCATTATAATAGGTCAATATTAAGGCACATGTATTCTTAAAATATTTAATGACTAGGTTTGATTGTCATTCCTGAGATTTCAAATGAATTAATTAAAAGAGTGCCAATTTTAAGATAAAAATCCTCTTTCTCATTGTAAAAAAAACTTTTATTTTGAAACATGAATTAGATTATATACGACGGTTCTTCTTCGTTTTGATCGTTAACGTCACCTGCACCCCAGCAATACGGAATGATCCAATCCAATCTTTTTTTTAAGATACAGAAAACTAAAATTATGGGGGAGGGCCCCTTAAAATATTTTTAATATGTGGGAAGAGGGGGGGCAAGACTTTTGCTGAACGCTTCTTGGTTTTCATTTATGAATTTTGATAAACCTGTATACCGTTCATAATTTAAAAATACTAGAGAAATGTTCCGACATTTAACTACGAATGCCGAACATAGATATCCTTGAATAAATAAGGCAACTAACTCACGGTCCTCTAAACGAGGGGGGGGGTGGAAATTGGTAAATATTAATTGTCTCATAGAATATAAGAAGGAGACATCAAAGAATTCTATAATTGAATTGTTAAAACCTTAGCTCCATTAGGTTCTATCCCATCAGGGCCGTACCCATAAATTTTCATCTGGAGTAGGCAACTCTTTACTTAGGAGGGCCAATATTTTTTTTGAGATATAACAATTAGTTTGGCACTCATAGATATTTTTATTAAAAATTTATAGACAATTTTTTTTATAAATTTTAATATAAACAAATAAGCTAAATCTGTATTATTTTTTTTCCCATAAGTTATTGATACTGAATTTTGTTTTCGTTGATCTTTTATCTATTCTCTAGAAAGTTCTCTCTTTAGTGTAGAGAATGAGGCCTCACAAAAAGCTGCTGATACATGATGATGGCTGCTGAGTAGCATTTATACAATTCTTTAAATGAAAGATGATTTTTTTTAATATTTTGCTATTTTCATTTCATGATTGTGACATTTCCATATTTAAGTTTGATAATGATTCTAGTGTGGTCATTTTATCTGATATAAAATAATTAAGGTCCAGGGTGACAATGTATTAAAACATGATAGAAGATTATAATCATCTTGTGTATAAATCTATCTACAAAACTATCTATAAAGAAATCAATAATTTTATAATAAGTTTTTTTTTAAAGAACTTCAATTGAAATTCTTCTCACAATTAATTTGCAATTTGGTATCGACTAAAAAATCTTGAAGATTTATAGGTGTTTTGTATTCCCTTGATTTTTGAAGGATGAGATTAAATTTTGATATAAGTTTCTCGTTCTTAATTCTTATTTTATTTTTTTATATATTAATTGTGGAATCAACAGAATTTTTAGCTTCCACTATATTAGTAATTGCTGAATGTAGATACTTATTTATTGGAGCTATTGTAATAATACTTCATAAATTAAAATATCCAATAAATGTCATTTATATTAACGGCGATAGAAAACCATTCGACTGAATCATGAGTGGATTTCTAAGTTAAGAGTTCTATTAGAAAAGTAAAATAGTAATTCACCAATAGCCTCAAAATTCTTATAAATGATACGAGATGTTTCTAAATGACCAGTCCACCTCTAGTCTAAAAGTTTCTTAAGAGTATGGCTTTTTACAGGATAGGTTAAAACAATCATCTCTTTATTAAGTAATATTAAGAAACAGGACCATCTATATTCATTATACAAGCATAATAGAATGAGAAAGATTGAATGCAATTTGATGATGCTATTAGGCACTTATACCATGACGTGGAGGGAGGCGGTATGATGTAATATCATCATTGAAATTGAGGAGGAGGGGTGAGGAGGCATGGTTTTGCTAATTTGTTACACTTATATTTGCTCATTTTATTTGGTTGAGGTGTAATGTTGTCATTGACTTGGGGGGAGGTGGGATGCCTATATGCTACTAAATTTACTCATAAATAAAAAAAAATTTGCAAAAAAGATTGAAATTAAATAATATTATGTATAATTTATGTATAATTTTTATATTTTTTTTAAAAATTATATTTCATTTTTAAAGGCTTAAAAAAGCTAGTGGACCTTTACCGCT